ACCCCAGCCACCTTGAGCAGTGAGGTAGTTGAGAACCGTTCTTTTGAGAAGAAGAGACAGTCATTAGCCCACTCTTTTCTTCTGTCATTAATGGGGAGCCCTCATATTGTTGTATGATACCCTTTAATCCAAGGGTTGATAAATGTTTTATAGACATTAATTGATTCAATTAAATTTCACCTCAGTACCTTGAGGCAGGTAATTCTTCTTTGGGACTCCCATCTTTGCTTGCTACAGTGTGGCCCATAAACTCTTAGCTTGGATTAGGATAATTAATAATACCAACAGTAAAACTTGGAGTTTAGATAATGTCCCATCACTAAAGCTCTCAAGTAGGTTACAAATAATCAAATTTGTGTAATGAAGGCTGAAGAGGAGGCTTGAACCAGATCTTTGCCAAGGGTGACAAGGCAGAAATACTACACTCCATGCTGAGGATGCGTGACCTTGAACAGTTCTTTGTGACCTCTTTGTGACTCAATTCCTACAGCTTTAAAAGAGGGGCAATATTACTCACCTCACGACTTCACAGAGGTGTTGCAAGGAATAATGTTTGCAACTTTGCTGTGGAGTTCTCAGATGAAAGACAGCAATTAACGTATGATGAAACATTCTGACCACTAATCTTTACCACATCTAAATGGGCCAGGCAAGTGAAATATCCAGTCTGGCAGAGGAATCGGTACTGCTGTTATTTCTACTTAACATCTATTAGCGACACGCAGAGGTGGAGAACAGCTTGGAGCAGTGGCACACCTGCTCTTGGGATACACGAAAGCAAGAGATACCAGATCAGCAAAAAGACAGCTAATTATTTATTCACTCTCGCTTCCCCTGCTCAGGTATTCTTTGGGCTATTTGAGAAGAAATTAGTGCAGAGAGAGAATCAGAGAATGACTGAAGCAACTTTTCCTCTTGGACATTTCCCTCACTTTTAACTGATCAGTGTATGTGTATAAAACTTAGAGTCTCCGAATGAACTTCTGTGTCTCTATCTCCTTGGTCAATAATGCTTTTTCTATCCATCTCCAGTTCTCCAGGCCAGCAGAGAACCAAATCCCTATCTTCACAAAGCCTTCCAGGCCCAAGATTTTTCTCAAGTTTCTTCTGTTACTCTTGTGGAACTAGCATATGTTTTGGAATTTATATTTCGGTGTTAGTCTTGTTTTCACACCAGACTTACTTCTTCCAGGTCATTCTTTACGAATCTCTACTCTTCATCTCCTACAGGTCTTAGTACACTGAAGCTAATCCAACACATGTTAACTGAATGAAGGAATGGAACTGGTCGGCAGAATAAGATTTGAATCAGACCATACTGAATCCACATCTGTTCTTCTCACCATCCAAGACACATCCTGTGGGACACACACAAGTGCAGAATAGAAATATTGAACAGGCAACATTAAGGGAAAGAGAAGCTGGTTTAAAATATAATTTTCAAGCAGTGTTCTAAAGATATAATTTGAAGGTTCAAGGAAACTGTCTCTCCACACACAATATTACATACGAGGACTGAGTCACTTAAGCATCTGCACATGACTCCTATAACTACAACAGCAAGGCAGATCCGGAGAAACACAGGTATTGATGTTACCACCACTCACTGTTTTAAGCTTGAGCTCAGGTATGGCTCTGAAGCCCTCCATGTAGTGGCTGCATCTGTGTTTCCTGCTGTTTGCTGCCCTGCTCTGCCCTCAGATGCCCCCTTTCTGCAGCAGAGCTGAGGCACTGACTCACAACCAGCTCTGAGTTTCACCTACCCAAGCCTACCAGGGATGCCCTGCTTTAAAAGCCTCTTCCCAGGCTCCCTCCCTGAATGGGCCCTGCATCTCCAACTACTGTAGCTTTCATGTCTAGTTTTGGGGTCTTTCTCAAATTTTCCTTCATGAAGTGGCAGCTTTGGTCCCACATTGCTCGGGTCCAAATTCAGATTTGGTCACTGGTTAATCATCAGAATTAGGCACAGTGCTCATGTTCTGCTCCTGCATTTCCTTGTCTTCTAAGTGGGGCTGCCTTTCCCCTGACTGAGCACGGAGGTTGTTGTGGAGATTACACACAAAGCTGTGTGCAATGTGCCTAGAGTAGTGCCGAAGACATGCAAGGGCACTCACTTCTTTGTTGTCTCTCAAATCTTGCCCTGAGAGGGGATACGCTCCTGTTTGTATCCTAGCAATGCTAATGGGGGTGAGCAGTACCCGTGAGTCAGCGGCTGTAGAAAAAGTATGGGTGTGAGTCATGGCAGCCCCTGAGGAACCTGCAGAAGCTCACTATGGAAATTTCTCTGTTCTCTTGGATCCTCCTGTAGAACATGATTTTCTATGGTTGCTTTTTCTTCCCCCCACCAAGGTTTTCAATGATATCACATTTGGCTTAAATATTGTTAATACACGACACAAGTTTATCCTTCTTTATGGCAGAGTAGTGCTCCATTGTATGTAAATACCACACTTTCTTTATGCATTCATCTGCTGATGGACTTATAGGCTGCTTCCAAGATTTAACTATTATGAGACTGCTATAAACATGGCTGTGTATGAATCACTCTTGTCTTTAACTCTTTTGGGAAGACACCCAAAAGAGGAATAGCTGGGTGAAATGAAATTGCTAATGTTAGTTCTTTGGGGAATCTCCATACTGCTTTCTACAGTGGTTGTGCTAGTTCACATTCCCATTAGCAATGTAGAAGCGTTCCTGCCCTCAAAGCACACAGCTTTGCCACCACCATAATATTAAAGGAAATAAATCAGACACACAAGCTTAAATACTGCATGGTTTCTCTTATATGAGAAATCCGAATTATAAAGAAAGAGCAGGATAAAAGATAGATAATAAGTAAGGAGACAGATCTTTCTCAGATGGGAAGTGATCAAGATACGGAGGGAGGGAGGGAGGAGAGAGGAGGAAAAGGGGATGAAAGAGGGAATGAAGAGGGTGATGTATGTGCACTAACTCCACACAAGGAGTGTACGCATTAAGTACTGCAAACATGGACTAATAAAGAAAAAGAAAACGATGCCGTTGACAGTATAATCTGATTCCTTCCTTGGGGAAAGTTGGTGTGCAGTTTCCCCTCCAGCTCCCGCTGACCCATCTTCCCTCACAATGGCATATGAGTGGCCAAGTGCACTCGGGATCCCAGCCGGAAGCAGACAGCACCGGAAGGAGACAGTCCTGTTGCTGAGGCTGTGGAGAGCCGACGCAGTGCACCTCTCTGCTCACTGGTGCTCGTGTAGTTTCGCCACTTCACGCACTAACACTCAAAAGTTGAGGTGAAGTTTTAAAATCCCCTTGTTTTATTTTTTCCCCGGCTAAATATACTAAATAGCTGTAAAATGTTCATTTACTTTTTTGAGGCATAATTTTCACGTAAAAATACAAATTTTATTTCCATAAAATCCACTGTTTTAAGGTTTACAATTCAGTGAATTCTAGTACATTCACAAAGCTGTGATGCGATGGCTAATTCTAGATCATTTTCACCATTTTCCCAAAAAGGAAACTCTGTACTCCTCATATCTTGACCTTGTGATAAAATGTTGATGTTAATTTTATTTTTATTATTTGGATAAATTGTACTTACAACTTTTGGAAACTCATAGAACTATATATATATACTCACACATTATAGTAATTAATGTTATCATGAGTTTGCTTCGTTTACAATTTTTTTGGTATTTGTCTTACTCATTGTACTATTTGCTCAAGGTTTTTAACACGCATGTGCACACACACACATACACACACTTGTGTCAGGTTGCAGAGATCAGGGCCAACAGCTGTTCTTATCTTGAAGGACAGTGAATAGACACTGAAAATAAAATAAGTATTGGTTATTGGACAACTGCTATTTCCCAAGCTCTATACCTAGAAACACAGTTTCAGGAGGGAAGTTCTATTATCGTGGGCTTTATTTTACATGTGACCAGGTAGAGGTGTATGGAGTCCGTGTATGGAGATCTGTGTAGCTCTCAAGGTGGCCTAACTACCAGCTAATAAAGGCCAAATTTGAACCCAAGCTCTCCAAATGTAGAGCGCATCTCTGATCAGCCCTCATGAGCCTCTTGTTCCATTCCCTCCACTTTGCTGCCAGATGCTACCAGAGGAGAGCACCAGTTCCTGTTTTGAAATGATCACACCAAGACGAGCACAGAGAAGCAGCTGGAATCCAGGTTTTCTCCAGAGCCAAGGTTGGTTTGTGCTTTGCTATGCCCCATTGGGACTTCTGCCATTATCTTAGACTTCTGTTTTAGCTCTAAGAACAAAAATCACCTTTTGTCATACTTGTTTGTATGCCTGAATCCCCCATTACTCTGAAGATGGCAAAAACGACTTGACTTATTAGTGTGGCCTCTGTGCTCAATGTTTACTGAATACTTAGTGAATACATTTAAAAATTAGTCTTTTTGTACAGCCATTTGGACATTTTATTTCTAAAAATCTTTAAGAGGTTTAACCATCAGTATTTGAAATAAGGGAGATGACACAGGATAGATTGCTTATACCTCTGCATTTTTTCTCGTCTTTCCAAAAAATCAACTTAGTTGCATATACATGTTAAGCAGAGTATTTTCTATGTGCACAAAGAAATATGATTGCAAATATCTTTGGAAGAGGCTTAGTGATAATTTGTACCTAGTGTAAACAAAATGAATGGGGATACTGTTAAAAACCTACAGATGGGGGCTTTCATTAAGCAAATTCAATCTGCTGCCCTGCTAGCCTCCCCTGTGCCTCAGTTCCATGGCTCCTGGGAATAAGGCAGTGACCTGGGAGTTCTCGCACTTGCTCCTCAGAAGGGTCTTGGCAACTCTGCATTGTCCCGCTGGCTTTGCAGTCAGATGTCTGAGGCTGGCAGACACTGGGCAGGCAGTGAGTTCTTTTGCTGTAAGTTGGGCACAAAAAGATTGGCATGGGAGCAGCCTCCTTTGAGACAGCTGCTCTGAGAGAATGCAGTAAGCAAGGAACAGCCAGAAATTCCTCCTAGCCAGGGTGACTCGTGGGAGGAGTCCAGTGTGCTTCTGTATTGTCATTTGCTGAGAGAAGGTGTGTGCTCAAGAAGGAGTTTAACCTGGAGGAACATTAACCCTTTTAGCCAGTTGGAGCACAGCAGCTGAGGTGGCTCTGTGAGTTTGTCCTGGAAGTGTCTGCTCAGGAGGGCAGAGAAGGAGTGGCATCACTTTTTCATGGGGGACAACAGTGGAAAGGAGCAGAAGGCTGTGCTCAATGAAGGACAAGAGAATGAGATGGTAAGATTCTAGCCACATTCCCCTCTTTCCACTGCCTCTCCCCAGACGGAGACAGACAGACACACACTCACTGATACACACTCACACATTTCTCTACACTGTGGCTCTGGGGTGTCAGGAGAAGAGGGCATAATGTCCAAGAAATCTCTCTGTCCCACAAATGCAACCTCTGACAGCAGACGTTTACGAGAATGAAAATATTGCATTCATTTTATCAAGAATGCTTTCTTTTTAAATAAATCAGAAAGGGAGAGAAGCACAGTGCCACTTGGTAATTCCTTTCTGAGCCTAGTCAGTAGAGCAAGTTCTGTTCAAGACTTCCAATCATTTCTGTGGTCCCCCATGTGAGGAGCAGGGCTCCCCAATAGGAAGAAGAGAACATCAGTAGTGAAGCAGCAGCTGGCTGGGTGTTTGACCTTCTTCTTTTCTCACATGTCTTGATCGCCAAGACTGCTGGACAGGGAAGTCATAAAATATTAACAATTATCAGCCTACACACGTTTCTTTTTACTTCTAGGGTTATACTTGTAGCTCCGTTGTTGTAGAGATTGGTTACAGCAAACTTTCTGTAGTTTATTGTGCCTTTTATTTTAAATGTGTTCTTATCTTGGGGAGTGTAAGAAAATCAAAGATGACTCTCATGTTCTTGGTGAATTTAAAGTTATATTTCTCAATTACAATGTAATCAAGAGAGAGTTAGAAATGTGTACTTCTTTTAATAAGGTCTTTCTGCCAATTGTGTAAGCATAATCTTTTATCCCAGTAATGATGTAATTAAGATGTTAAAATGTGATGCTTTCATTCTATAATAGCATTTTTTATCTTCCTGGAATTAATATACAAATAACAAACCCCAAAGATATTTACTTAGAATGTTTTCTTGGTTAATTGCTCGAGTCCTGCCTATTAAATTCTTTGTTCTAAAACTGATCTTTCAAGTCTAATCTGCTTACCTGTTCCTATAGCAATGACTTTTTTGGGGGGACCTTTAAGAGTAGATTCCTTCTTCTATAAAAGCTGAAAAAAATTGTAAAGAAATAAAAGGCACCGTAATTCAGATAGCTTTCTTTACCATGCCTTTACTTCTTTCGGACTGGACTGCCAAGTGACAGTTGACTCCCAGGCCCTACACAGATGTCATCAGAAATGACTTCCTGCTCCCATGGTGGGTATCATCCTTATTTCCCTGAAGTGTTCTCTGGAGGGGAATATATTGCATTACTCATGACATTAAGCTGAAAATTCTATCCTCATCTTGAACACTCACACCAGAAAGCAAATGTTCCTTCCCTATAATGGTGTGCTTTGTCCTCACCCACTCTTTTCCTGTCTACTCATTTCTCTTCTTCAACAATTTTACTGGGAAGCATCATGTAGAATCATCACTGGGATTCATCTATTTTCCAGAAGATGCACTTTATTTTAGGGCAACTACTGCCTTTTCCCCAGCCTAACAAAATGCTCTCAACACAGCAATTTTGCTAGTTGTTCATCTTCCCAACAGCACCACCAAAAAACCAGGGTATCAGCCTTGTTTTGTATGTATCCAAGGGCCCGGCTGGAACGGACCTCTGCAGTGGGAAGGGACGCCATGTTTTCTGTTAGAAGTCAGGTAGCTCAGCAGAGGTGTAGCATTAGTATGTGCTCATAGCTCCCCATCCTGTTTTGCTTGCAGAAACCTGGCTACCTGCCTGGTGTTGTGTCTGACACCGTGTCCCTTTTCATTCACTCTTCTTTCCCTCACCCAGAGCAGTTAAACTTCAAAAATTAGCAAGATAACTTAGGTCTATTCCACACATTTTTCTTTTAAGAGTAGGAAAAATTTTATTGAGAGAAAAATAGTTTCTGTCTAAGAGAGTCAGAAGAGGGACCAGAAAATGGGCTACCCCTCTGTTCCGCACATTTTTATACCGAAAAATATTGAGTAGGTGCTGTGATTCCCATTATAAAGATGGGGAAATAGATGCACAGGGAATTTGCCTAAGATTGAAGCAGCCAACAAGTCCAGGAATTAGAGTACCACGTAGGTTAGCTTCCCTTGGTAGCTCTGTGTCTTCGGGCTTGGACATAGCCAATTGGTGCCTCTTAAGTTCTTCCTGGGGACACTGGACTCTTCCTAGAACCCCTTAATAAATAATTAATCCTCCCTTAATAAAACAGCCAAGGACAACATCTGATATCCCTAGATTCAGGATATGTTTTGTTGTACATGACTAACATTTTCTAAATAAGTCTGACTTCCAGGGTAATCTCTTTTAGGAAGCCAAGATAGTCTAGAAATGTGTCACACCAGTGTTTACAGTTTTCTTGGTCTATAAGCACCCCGAGGTCTTGCTCTATAAACACCCCAAGTTTGGACATTTGCAAAAGCGATTTCTCTGATGATACAAATAACATCGAGTTTCAAGAGAAAGCAGCATTCTGGAATTTAGTTCTCATGTTAAGAAAGAACAGGAATATTCAGTGGCCCAGTGACAGTGGGATAATTTTCTATTCTAGAATAAAAGAAACAGGAACAAAACAGCTACTCTAGGTGACCTGATAGTCATGTTGCTCAGTGAAAAATGAGGCAGGAATGAAAGGAAAAAAGAATTTGTTTTAGGACAAAGACCCTTAAGAAGGGGAGAAAAGTGGCTTTCAGAGAAGGCTCATCTGATTGCTTCCTACAGGCCAACAGGAGTTCCTCAGAGAGCACTGTGCCCAGGCAGAGGGTGGGCTCTTGGTGGCCTTGGGCTGGCCACTAGCCTGCTCTAGCCTCACTTTTACTACCTGTAAACTGGGAGTGGTCCTTGTGACCTTGCCTGTCTTGTAGGCCTCTTAGGAGGATCAGCAGAGAGCATCTATGTGGAAGTATTTGGAGAAGTTAATACTTTCGGAGGAGCGTGAGCTGCTACTGTCTAAACAAAGGTGGGTGTAGTCAGGGCTTCCACAATTAATCACATGAATGAATCCAAGCACACAAAAAACAAGATCATCTCTTCCCATTAAGTCATGACTAGAGCAATACATATTTGTTCTCTTTAGGGACTATATGGAAAGGTATTGGGTTTCCTTGTATTTGCCCTGTGACACTCACTTTAGGGAAAACACCTATTGAGCATTCAGTTCCTTTAGCTGTAAAGTGTGGGAAAATGAGCTCAAATCCCTGCTGTTTTGAAAGGACTTAAAGACATGACTGTTCATTTCCTTGTACCGTGACTGAGCAAAGACATCATAGTTTAATTGACACAAACATTGCTCACATTAATGAATTTTCCTGGTTTCTGACTATAAAGACAACATAGGGATTTTAAAAAATAAAAATATTGAAATGACCAGGGCCTAAAGAGTGAAATAAGTGTGATTCATGAGTTTACATCTATGATTAATACTATCATAGAAATGACTCTTTCAGACTTATAAAAACATATACACGAAGTTCACCACTTTCTAATTATTTGACTATCCTTTAATAGTATCTCTACTCTTCAAATTTTATCGGTCATATCTGTGTTATAGAAACCCTTCATAATGCTAGGCAATTGTACATCTTTCTCTAATTCCTTATTCAGTGATGTTACATTAATAGCTTGAATTATGTTTGCAGCATTTATGCCATGGGAATCTGTAAATACTACACTAGGACTTCCATCCTGCTCCATTTGAAACCAGTTGTTAAGTACAAGGAGGTGGTTAAAATACATGGTGAATGTTTAAATTAAACATTTTATTACAGTAAAAAATTTATTGCAGTAAAAGACACATTGCCCGTAATCCTCCTCTTTCATGAGAGTTTTTATGAGGTCTGAAGCTTAGGAATCTCTCCCTCATGCTAAACAGTGACAAACAAGAAACTACTGAGGCAGAAATTTCAATAGGTATTAGGATGCAGGTAAGCCTTGAGGTAAATTGCATTCATTTAGCTCCATTTGTTGTAATGCATGGAAATTACAGTGAAGCATACTTTTCACATCCAATATTTGGAAATAAAGGGAAAAAGATTATCTTCAGGGAGGTAAACTTTTAAAAATGGAAACTATTTAAAACTTTCAAATATTTAATGAAGCTTGTAGAGAAATGCAAAATTGTCTTCCGGAGACTAAATGCCTCCCAGGCCAAGAAGATTTGTAATTTGATTGAATGAATTAATTTGTGGAAGGAAGGCATATAGCGGTTAGGATGAGAGACAGTCAGAGAAGATTCCAGAGCCCGTTCAAGCACTGTGCTCCCGTCTGGCTCTGCAGGACAGTTCTGAATGAGCCAGTGCTGCTGGAGAGAGGATGCACTCTTAGTTCCAACCCACACACGGGGGTGATGGAAAAATAACATGAGTATTTAAATTTTAAAAATGTATTACAGTAAAAAACACATTGTCATCAACCCCCCTCAATATATTCCCAAGTCATTTGCAAAACATGTCAGTGTGTCCTCACCCACCTCATTCACCAGATCTGGCACTGTGTGACCCCTGGCTCTTCCCCAAAGTCACAATGACCATAAGAGGTAAACATTTTGGATCGATTCAGGACACTGGGGCGACCAGGACAGCACAACTAAAGACATTCAGGAGAGAGGACTCCAGACCTGCTTCAGAAATGGGAAGAACAATGGGATAAGTGTGTTCAAAGCGAGGGGGAGAATTTTACGGGGTATTCATGGCAGTGCATCTTGTACTGTAATAAAAAATTTTAAATTTCAACATTCTCTGTATTTCTTGATTGCACAGAGTATATTATTTCTTTATGATTTCCTTTTATACCCACCATATGTGTATAAATAGAATTTGGATACTATCCATCTGCACATACATCATGACAAAGCAAATTAAAATCAATCACAATCTAAAGAAATGGATATACATACTCACAAATGCTTATTTAAAAAAAATTTTTTGAGACAGTCTCACTATGTTGCCTAGGCTAGTCTTGAACTTCTAAGCTCAAGTGATTCTCCTGTCTCAGACTCCAAGTAGGTCGGAGTACAGTGCAAGCCACTGTGCCAGTTAGAAATATATATTTTTA